TTAGCTTTTTGAGTAATCTTTTCTAGTTTGCTCTTTTGTCCAAGCAGACAGTCTCCACCTACTAATTGCTTAGACTATATCTGGTATAATTTTCAAGAGCTGGACATAAATCTACTCTACTGCTCTGTGTTTTCCATTTGTCTCATTCAATCATTATTTTTACCTGCCTGTAGGAACTAGTTGAGGGTTTTTAGGATTTAATCTTGCCTCAATAAATGGCTTAACTGCTACACCTCTTTACAGTTTAGTGGTAGCTCTTAAGTTTACAGCATAAAACTTCAACTGACCTCAGATGACCTTCACGTCTAGTGTAGGAACATTCCAACATTATACTACAGTTCTGCCACCCCTGGTTTTCGGCTATTGCTAGATTTCAAATCTAGATATGTTATAAACTCAACTATGCATCGCTGTCATATTTTCGTTAAAAAGTCAGTGATCATTTTAAGAAATGAAAAAGTTAGGAAAAATGTCTTTTATATGTCTGCCCATATTTACCGTTTCTGGTGTTCTTCATTTCTTTCTGTTGATACAAGTTTCCATCTGGTGTAATTTTCCTTCACAGTCACAACTTATTTTAGCATTTCTTGTAGTGCAAGGCTGCTAGCAATGTTTTATCTCTGCTTCTGTTTTTCCAATAAAGTTTTTATTTCTATTCATTTTTATATCAGCTTTGTTGGGGTATAATATGCCGATAATAAAATTCACCAATTTTGGGGTGCCTGGGTGGCTCAGATTCTGCCTTCAGCTCAGGTCATGATCTCCAGGTCCTGGGATTGAGCCCTGCGCTGGGCTCCCAGCTCAGCGGGAGTCTGCTTCTCTCTCTCCCTCTGCTTCTTCCCCTGCTTATGCTCTCTCTGTCTCTCTCTCTCTCTCTCAAATGAATAAATAAAATCTTTTTAAAAAATTCATCAATTTTAAGTTTATAATTTGATGAGTTTTGACAACATAGCCAACCATGTGACCATCAGCACATAGTAAAGAACATTTTGGTCACCCCCAAATTTCCATCCTGCTACTTACAATTAATCCTTCCCATCCCACCTGGCCCTAACCAACCATATATCTGCTTTTTATTGTCATAAATTTCTACAGTACAAAATTTCATGTACATGAAGTTATACAATATGTAATCTTCTATGTCTGACCCTTTCATTTAGCATACTTTCAAAATTCTTCCAGGTTGTTTCATGTATTAGTAGTTTCTTTCCTTTCTCCTGAATAGTATTCTTTTCTATGACTATAACTAAAATTTATTCATCCATTTACAGGTTTGATAGATACTGAATTTCTTTACAAATTTTGGCTATTTGGAATAAAGCTGTCATGAACACTCAAATACAAGTCTTTTGTCAAGAATGTTCTGACTTACATTGTTTCATTAAGTACTAAATTAATCATATAGTAAATGTATGTTCAACTTTGAAAGAATCTGCCAAATTATATTCCAAAATGGCTGTACTACTGTGCATTCCAAGTCACAATTTATGAGATTTCCAGGTATTCCTCATACTTTCCAAGATTTCATATTGTCTCCTAACTGGTAACAATTGTAGAGTGTATTTAATATTATCTATAATCATTTTAACTGAGATTTCACAAATCACTAGAGATATTGACTTCTTCTTTATATGCTTATTTGCCATCAGTATATTTTATTTTCTGAAGTATCTATTCAAATTTTTGCCCATTTAAATCATTATGGTGTATACCTTCTGGTCGTTGAGCGTCTGCCTTTGGCTCAGGTCGTGGTCCAAGAGACCTGGGATCGAGCTCCGCATCTGGCTCCCTGCTCGGCGGGAAGCCTGCTTCTCCCGCTCCCGTTCCCCCTGCTTGTGTTCCCTCTCTCGCTGTGTGTCTCTCTGTCAAATAAATAAATAAAACTTAAAAAAAAAAAAAAAGATGGCCTCATAGATACAGGTCCCTACTTTAAAAAAACAAAAAGAAAGAAAAGATTCTTTATAAATTCTAGATACACGTTCTTAATTAGATAAATATCTTAAAAATATTATCTCCTATATTGTGGCTTGTCATTTCTTTTATTAAAAGTGACATTTGGAGGGCGCCTGGGTGGCTCAGTTGGTTAAGCGACTGCCTTCGGCTCGGGTCATGATCCTGGAGTCCCGGGATCGAGTCCCACATCGGGCTCCCTGCTCGGCAGGGAGTCTGCTTCTCCCTCTGACCCTCTTCCCTCTCGTGCTCTCTATCTCTCATTCTCTCCCTCTCAAATAAATAAATAAAATCTTTAAAAAAAAGTGACATTTGGAGAGCATTTTGTGGGTTTTGAAAAAATTTTTCTTGAGGTTTGACTCATTTGAATTTCCTTTTGTGGTTTTTGCTTTTTATGTCAAACCAAAAATCTTTTCTTGCCTTTTCCAAGGCCATGAAGATGTTCTCTTAGGTATTGTTCTGGAATTTTTATTTATTTAGCTTTTACATGTTAATCCATGATCATTTTAAATTATTTTTATGATATGAGGTTAAAGTTAATTTACATACAATATAATTATACTTATGTATTATATAAATTATATTTTATATATATAATTTACATATACTATATATGTATTATATATGTAATTTATATATATTTACATATAATATATAAATTATATACATAGTATATGTAAATTATACGTAAAATATATATACTATATATACATATAGATATATATGATTTTTTCACTACCATTTCTTGGAGACAATTCTTTCTTCATTGAACTAGAATGGCACTGTTGTTGATTAGCAACTGGCCATAGATGTTTGAGTTTATTTCTGGATTCCCTATTCAGTTTCCTTTAATATATATATCTGTTTTTCTGTTGTTATTTTTAAAGAGAGAGAGAGACAGCATGAGTGGGAAGGGCAGAGAGAGAATCTCAAACAGACTCTGCACTGAGCACAGAACCCAACCCGAGGCTCGACCCCAGGACCCTGAGATCAAGACCTGAGCCGAAACCAAGAGTCAGATGCTCAACCCACTGTGCCACCCAGAAGCCCCTATACATCTGTTTTTATACAAAAACTGTGGTATCTTTATTAATAGATTTTCATATTATGTCTCTAAATTAATCCAACTTTGGTCTTCTGCCTAAAATTTTTGACTATTTCTAGGTTCTTTGCATTTTCACACAAATTTTAGAATCAACTTATTAATTTCTAAATAAAAGCCTACTGGAGTTTTTTGTTGTTTTTTTTTTTAAAAGTAAGTTCCACACCCAATGCGGGGCTTAAACTCACTACCCTGAGATCCAGCATTGCATACTGTATGGACTGAGCCAGCCAGGCACCCCATCCCTACTAGAATTTTAATTGGAACTACTCAAATATTTTAATTTTGTGGAGAATTACATATTAACATTATTGAGTCTTCTAATCCATGAATATGGTATATTTCTAAATATATTTGGATCTTGAATTTCTGTCCACAATGTTTGGTGTTTCTCAGTATACACACATTCCAAAAATTTTGATAGAATTATCCATAAGTGTTTCATGTTTAGATGTTTTTATAAATGCTTCTGCCTGGTGAATTTCAATTTCCATTTTTTCAGAACAAATATATTGGAATATAATTTATGTCTGATATTGACCTTGTAAACTAAAATATTGCCAGGCTTAATTGTTGGTGCTGGATGGTTGTGTTAGTCATAGTCATTGTTGTAGTCATAGTTTTAGTAGTGAAATCTTGGGAATTTCCTGTTGACAAGAATACATCATTTCTGAATTAAATTGGGTTTATTCTTTTTAAATTATTTTCCTGTCTTAGTGTACTCCCTGAAGCATCTAGAACAATGCAGAATAGGATTGGTGACAGCAGATACCTTTGCCTTGTTCCTGATCACAGGGGAAATCATTCAGTCCTTCACCACAATATGACTTAGCTGTAGATTTCTGAGGCTGACATGCTTTCCTTATATTTCTAGTTTTCTAAGACGATTTTTGATGAATGAATATTGAGTTTTGTTAAGGTTTTTTTCCTCTACATTTTTAGTATGGTTAGGTAACTTTTCTTTTTTAATCTGCTAATAAAGTGAATTAAATGGATTTATTTTTAAAAGTTGAACAACCTTGTGTTCCTGGGATAAATTCCACTTGGTCATGATGTATTTTGTATATTGCTGAAATTCTATATGCTTGTATTTCCTTAAAAATGTTGAGTCTAGGACAAACTCTGGTCCATCCAGACAGTGGAATATTATTCAGCACTAACAAGAAATGAGCCATCAAGCCATGAAAAGACATGGAGGAAACTTAAATGCATATTATTGAGTGAAAGAAGTCACTTTGAAAAGCCCATATACTGTATGATCCCAACTGTGTGACATTCCAGGAAAGACAAAACTATGGAGACAGTAAAAGATCAGTGGTTGTCAGAGGTTGGGGAAAGGGGGATGGATAGTTGGAGCACAGAGGAATTTTAGGGCAGTGAAACTACTCTGTGCAATACTATAATGATACACACATGTCATTATGCATCTGTCCAAACCCCTAGAATGCACAGCACCAAGAGTGACCCTCGGGTCAACTATAGAGTCAGGGTGATGATGACGTGTCAGTGTAGGTTCATCTTTGGTAACAAATGTACCGAGTGGAGGGTGTTGATAGTGGGGGAGGCTATGCTGGGGGTAGGACAGGAGGCATATGGGAAATCTCTGTATCTTCCTCTCAAGTTTGCTGTGAACCTAAAACTGCTTTAAAAAGAAATAAATCCTACTAAAATTATTGGGTCCATATTTGTGAAGGATAATCCTCTGTAATTTTATTTTCTTATAATGTCTTTATGGTTTAATGTCAGGTAAGTGTTAGCATTATAACATGAAGGATTTGTACAAGAATTTATATATTTGTTTTCTTGTATGTTTGATAGATTTCAGCACTGAAACTGTACACCAAGGTTTCCTTTGTGGGGAATATTTTAACTTAAAGTTTAATTTCTTTAATAGATTCAGGGTCATTCATGCTTTTCTGAAATGACTTTTGATCATTTGTGTCTGTGAAGGAATTTGTATTTCATCAGTTGGTGTAGAACTTTCTCTTAACTGTATGCGTGCTGTCAGGCCCGACAACTCTTCCATCCTTGTCAAGGGGACTGCTAACCTTCTCTCCTTTCATACAACACAGAACTGTCTTCCTCTTATTTCTCCTGTATTGGCCACACATCTGATGCCCCTACTCTTACTCCTGATGTTAGTCATTCATTTATGCTTCCTTTCCTATTTTGTTGGTCATTATAAATTCAGATTTATCAGTTTCACTGATCATTTTAAAGAACCAGCTTTTGGATTCTGTAATTTTGCTGTTGCCTTTATTTCATCCAGGTAGAGTATTTCCTTACCCATTCCTGCCTCACAGTCATTTTGCTCTTCTTGGTCTAGTTTATGAAGGTAAGCACTTTTCTCACTGACATCAAAGCTTCCTCCTTTCCTAATATCAGCATTCACTGCTATGAATTTCCCTCTAAACACCATGTTAGCAAAGTATCACAGATTGTGGTGTACTGTGTTTTTCTTGCCTTTGGTGACACATAGGCTCTGTTTGGTCATCTCCCCACGAGCTGCTGCCTGGTCGTGGGCCATGTTGCTATGTGTTATCTTTAGGAGGGCTTTTCTTGTGTCTCATCTTGATGCCCACACCCGCCATGAGATGTTGACTTTTCTCCACTCTGGCTGGGCTAAGACTCCAATAGACCTCATCCAACTTGACCTTTAGTATCTCCCTTCCATTGTTCACCTCAGAGCAGCCCTTTTCCTGATATGCGTTGTTCTCCCTCACTCTGGGCAAGGGACTCTGGGAACCACTCTGCACAGCTCCTCACTCCCTGGGACAAGGGAAGGCCCCCACATCCACACATCCCACCTGCCCCAAACTCTGAGCTCTGCCTCTCTGCTCAGTGGGATCACAGCACTCTGCTTGGACTCCACATGTTGTCCTGTAGTAGGAAATTGTCCCCACACTGTGAAGCACTGTGACTGTGGTGCTCATCCAATGAGACTCCTTCTCTAAAACAGATGGCCATCTTGGACTGTCCTTGTCCAAAGCCTGACAACAATGACCTCATCCAGTCCATCCAGTTTCATGGTTGTCAGGAGGGGGAGGCCCGAGCCCTGTACCAGTCACTCCATTATAGCTGGAAGCCAAGTCAAGATCTCCCTCACACGGTTCCAAAGGAAAGGGATACTTCATAACAGAGATGCTATTTTCTCCCTCAAAGTGTGATGTTTCTGTATCATGGGGGGAGAAATACCCCCAAAACACAAACGCAACCAGCACATCTATCCCTTGCAGCCTACCTTTCACAGTTCATGTGGAGAAGAGTCCTAGGAACATCTGCCGCTGTGTGCACCCTGCCAGATGGCTGACAGCTCCAGAAACCATGCCAACACCCATCACGGGGGCCTGTGAACATGGAAAATTACACAGTTCAGGGATAGCTCCAGCTAGGAGCATCGGCCATGTATATTGCCCCGTTTCCAGAATGATGGTAATAACCACAGAATGACGGCATTCAGCAGACAAGTGATGAAAAGACATGTTGCCAGGTGATGGAAGGTTGTCCATCCGACCGGACACGTTGATGGATGTGTCTGGTGCTCAGTGACAGTACCGTCTAAGAGTTTGCATAATCTGGGAGTAAGAGCCTTAAAAAAATCCTGGGTCATGAATATCTGGTCATACTTATGGTTACATGAACATACTAGCAAATGTTACAGTGAACAGCACATTTTACTCAAACATACGCATTTTGTCTTCATGTGGATAAAGATAAAGAAAAATGAAGACTTTCAGTAAGAATTGGAATAGAATGAAAGTAAATCCTTGTTCTTTACACACGCCAGGCCTAGCCTTGTGAATGTACCAAAGAACAAAATATCATATAGGAATTCTACCCAAGAGGTACTGAAAGCCACATTTTTCCAGTTCTCTGTTTGGAATACGATACACTTCAATGGCATCTTTATCAAACAAGTCCTAAACAGTATTTCTCACCATGTTATATATTAAAAATAGCACACATTTATTTTTGAACAACAGGCTTTAAAGAAATAGTCTAAGGCATGGAAATCTCCAAGTAATCCAGAGCATTTTATTCTAAAGTTCTGTCCTTGACACAGAGTATATTCTGCTCACAGCATTATGGTAACATTTACTTGCCCTGTGACCTTACTCACATATTTGCTCACTGGTTGGCCATCAGTTGGTACAGTGGATGGGACTAACCCATGAGTTGTTCATCGTGGACCATGCTAACCCTGGTGGATGCAATCCCTGAGCAGCAGAGAAGGTCAAGTCCCCCTGTGGACTGTCCTAGACTGTGTTTGCACCAAATGTCCCATTCATGGTCCCTTGGCCAGTCCTGGGAATGGCCAGACCCGGACTTGGTATGGGTCATACCCAGCAGTCCACACCCTGGACCCAGTGATCCACATCCCTCCCTGTTGTATACACTTCAGTGGCATTTACTCACCAACCTACTCACCTGGGCCCAAAGCCCCCATGTCCCACCTCGCAGGGCATCAGGCTCACAGTCCAGGGTCTCATCATCCACAGAATGTCCACATGCAGGTTCCTGGATACATCTCCTCCTGACTTAGAGACCTAGGATTTAAAAGCTTAGCTACCCTTCCTTCACACAGTGTATGACATTCCTGGAAACAGTGAGACACGGGGAGAAGATTCTTGCCACAGACACCCCCACTGGAGTACAGGAATGGGGACTGTAGCTCCTGGTCCACAATAACTCTGAAATCTTGCCACGTCATCCGCAGGGCTGTCCCCGAGGGACCTTCAAGTCCATCATGCCTTAGGAAGCCCCAGCTCCCTGTCCCCTCCTGCTGCTCTATCGCACTCTCTGACCCTGGGCTTCACCCACTGGGCTCTTGTATCCACCCTTTAAGACAGCCTTCCGTTTCCACAGGAAAAGTGTGGGTTTGCAGATTAGCGCCTTTCTCACCTAGGTTCCTGCTTATAGAAAGCGGGGCCCAGAGGGCTCTCTCGTCCAAGCTGGCGTCACATCTTCATGCACACTCTCCTAAAATCGTGTGGGCTTTTTATATTTTACAACTTAGTTCTCTCTAGTCAACCAAAGCCACATCTTCAGTGACCTGCTAGACCCAGCTCTCTCAAGCTGTTCTTGTAGCTCTCTTGCAAGTGAGCTTCTGCACACTGTGCTCTGTGCTCCTTGTGTGCAGCGGAATGTCTGCTCACCCCCTTCAACACTTCAGAGGTCTTAACAAACCATCCCACAGCTCCCCCCTTTGATTTGAGTCCTCCCTCCAGGCTTCCCTTCACTGTCAGAAACTTTTACCAGCTGTGGAGACTGGGAATGAGAAACTGTTTTCTAAACCAGCAAGTCCTGCCTCCTCTATATTCCCCCAGAATCCCATGTGAAGACTGCATAATTTACTCCTTCATTCCTTCATTCCACCTCACTCTCCCTGTATCTTCTCACAGATGGCTGAAGGAAGCCGGCACGCCATGCACTGTGCCTGAATGTCACCTTGGCAGAGTCGACAAGTCCTTCAATGTATTTCCTATCATCCAGGTTACCAGTCACCTTCCCATTGTTGTCCCTGCACAGAACACAGGCCACCATTGCCTGGGCTTCGTATGGAATATTTCCAACCAGCCTCCATGAATCATTTGCCCTTTGTTCTTCTGGCCTCTGTCCCCAGGCTCCCTTCACTGCCTTGTCCCAAAGCCAAGGTCACATGTTTTCGTTTTTTTGCTGGTTTTTTTTCATCATCTTACTTCCTATTTCTCTATCAGTTTGCTTCCTCTATATAACAAGCCACCTCAAAACAGCTATGAATTCTATTTGGATTGAGCTCAGCTGGACACTGTTTCTCTGTGGCAATCCGTAATGTGTTTGTGGGCAAAGTGGAAGTCAGCCAGGCCTGGTTGGCAGAGGGAAACCTCCACTAGCATGGCTGTCTCTGCTCCATGTGGTGTCTCAGTCACCGGCAGCATAGCCTTCTCCACCTGGTGGAAGAGCTCTAAGGAGACTCTGTGTGTGGAACTCGAGACAACACCTCCACCACATTTGGTTGGTCAAGACAAGTCAAAGACCAGCCCAGCTCACGGGTAGAGAAAAGACCCCTCCTCTGATGGCAGAAGTGGCAAAGAGTTTGCCCGCTCTCATAATCTACAAATTGAATCCAGGAATTAATTATGGTGGGATTATTATGAGTAAGAAAAGACGATGTGACGGAAAAGAGAAAATTGCTCTGTAGGTGTGTGTTTTAATTCCTCCCAGAAACACCTTTGGACAGCCACCATCATATCTTTCTGCTTCTTTTTTTAACACTTAGCTTTTCTCTGTTCTTTCTTCCTACTTCTCTTCTCCTACCCACAACACAGGTGGTAAAAATCTTAAAGAATTGATGTGGCCTAGGTGTAGGGGAGAATGGAAATTTTAAGCAACTTGTTTCTTCCACCTTAAGCCGTAGGAAAATCTCAACGTTGCCTTCTGTAGAACATTATCATGACTTAAGGCACAGATGCATTTATTTAAAAATGGCATCTGTCCAAACAATGTAATACTTTGAAATGTCATAAAACTCATGGCAACATTTATAATTCAGATGAAAATAAAAACACATTCCTGGCTTGAACAAATTTCTGTATGAGGCATGTGTTTTTTCCCAAAGTCAACTTCTGTGAGATAGTAAAAGTTGATATGCTAACCTCTGTTTGAATGAAGTGATTAAGAATTTGTTGCCTGGCAACAGAGTTCACATGTTTGATCTTTGTGTCAGGGATGTTCACATGTGGATATATTTTTAAGAGATACTCTAAATTGGGTAAAAATAGTAATTTGATACTGAAATGGTTTATTTCTAATGGCTATCAAAATTGTAATAACAAATGGTACATATTAGCTCAATTAATACTGTCTTTGGGATACATGAAGCTTTGGGGTAATTTCAAGCAAATCTCAGCAGAACTGGGTCCTGGGGACAGTGGTTGATGGATTTGAATCCTCTGCATGCTTCATTTCTCCTTGTCCATTTTTCAAGTGTTCATCTTCTTTATATTATTTTTCTTTTCCCCACACCAACCTCTGTTGCAATTCAGGCTCGTTAGGCAAAAATGATGTTTGACTCTGAATATCTGTCCAGT